TACAGCCATTTGTAAACACCAAAACTTTCACGCAAACCAATTAATTTACACATATTGGGATTTTTTTTTTCAAAGACACGGAGCAGAATGCATTTTGGCTTAAATTTATTACAAAATTTTGATTTTTTTAAATTTTTACTGGACATGTTTAATAGCAAAAAGTCAAAAATATTGTTTTATTCTCAAAATAGTTTTTTTTAATAGCGCAAAAAATTAAAAATGCATAGGCAATCAAATACCACCGAAAGAAAGCTCTATTTGTGGGAAAAAAGGACATACATTTAATTTGGGTTCAGCGTTGCATGACTGCTTTAAACCGCTTCCAAACCGGGCACTTTTACCCCCTTCCTGCCCAGGCCATTTTTCAGGTTTCAGCGCTCTCACACCTTGAATGACAATTGCGCGATCATACAGCATTGTACCCAAACTAAAATTTTGCAATTTTCTTCACACAACTAGAGCTTTCTTTTGGTGGTATTTAAGCAACACTGGGGTTTTTATTTTTTGCTAAATTAACAAACAATGACTGAAAATTTTGAAAAAAAAAAAAACCCACGTTTTTCTTTGTTTCTGTTATAAAAGTTTGCAAATAAATAATTGTTCTTCATAAATTTAGGCCGAGATGTGTTCTGCTACTTGTCTTTGGTGAAAAATAACCCAAATTAGGATGTATTATTTAGTGTGTAGGAAAGTTATAGAGTTCACAAACTATGGTATAGATCTGAATATTGATCAATCCTGAAGTACTGACGGCCAATCTAATTTCTTGAGGTCCAAGAATGTCAGAACAGTACAGATATCCCCCAAATGTCAGGACAGTACAGATATCCCCCAAATGTCAGAACAGTACAGATATCCCCCAAATGTCAGGACAGTACAGATATCCCCCAAATGTCAGGACAGTACAGATATCCTCCAAATGACCCCTTTTTGCAAAGTAGACAGTCCGACGTACTTCATAAGAGGCATGGCGAGTTTTTTGAAGTTGTAATTTTTTGGTCATAATTTTTCGGAAAATTTAAAAATTAAAAAAATTATTTTCACTATTTTTTTTTTTTTTTTACATACTGTCACCAGTGCAGTACAGTGTCATCATATAACTGGCATGGCAGTGATCAGGGACACTGACTGGTGACAGTACAAAAAAAAAATTATAATTTAAAAAAAAAATTTTTAATTTTTTTATTAGTTTTAATTTTTTATTAAATTTTTTTCTCTTTTTTTAAGATTTTTTTTTTCATATTTCACTATGACCAAAGTAGTATAATGTTACCATAGTAACATTGTACTACTTTGGGGAAGTGATCAGTATTTATTTATTTTTTTTACACAATTTGCTTCTAGCAAAGAATTACTTTGCTATAAGCAAGCATTTACCTGAATGACATCGATTCATTCAGGGTTTTTTTTTTGTGCTTAGCTGTGATTTGGCCATGGCTAATCACATGACACAGCTGGACTGTGATTAGCCCAGCTTGTGCATGTAATCGCTGTGACCATTCACAGCTAGACACACTAGTATACAATGGATGGCATGAAAGAAAGCCATCCATTGTATACAACTGTCATGTGACCTGCTGTGATTGGTCACAGCAGGTCACATGGTACTGGGAACAAGGGCGGTACACAGATCTGTCATCGGCCGTGTCCCAGGTATACGCCGGAGAGCGGCCCTGCAGGCAGGCAACCTGCGCGTGCCTGAAAGGACGCCATATGATGTCCACCCGGAGGGACGAGTTGCTCGCCTGCTGCCTTTATGCTATTGGCCGGGTGGGAACTGGTTAAAGTAACGCAGCGTCGTAACGCAAAAAATGGCCTGGTCTGGAGGGGGGGGGGGGGGGGGGGGGGGGGGGGGGGTAAATCCTCAGGAGGGCAAGTGGTTAAAATTATTTCACATCAACTCCGGTGTTAACCGATATCAGGCTAAACGGTTTAACTGGAGATATAAGATGAGTAAAAATTGCTTGCAGAAAAATGAGAGTTATATGTTACCAATATAGATTCTATGGTATCATTGATGTCAGCCTTAAGTAACCTCACTTCTGTGTGTGTCCGTCGGTTGTTTTTTCTTGTCTCCTATCTTGTGTGTCCGTCCTCTAACTTTTATCACCCCGAAAAACCTAAGCGGGCAAACCTTATCTTGCCTAATTATGACATCACTCAATGAGCCTAATTACCTGAAGTGGGCAGTATAGGAATAGGAATAATTTTGGACTTTTCCTAAAAACTGAGTCTTGTCAAGAGTTGATCTCTGAGCTCTTAACTTGTTAAAATGCAATACATTTTAGAAGTAGATCGCTCTTTTGACCGAACTGGTTAGACAAGCTGGGACCAATGTCACTTAAAATAATGTTTCACCTAAGTGATTCTGGGGAAAGAAAAAATAATTCTACTTATACATCTTTTCAGGTCATTTGTACTGAGAGTTCATAATTATCTAACATCTTCTGTAGCATACAGACGTTGTAATATAATGGACTCAAACTGGTTATTTATAATGTTGAAAACATAATATCCACAATATATACAAATTTGTCTTCATTGTTAAAACCAATTCATATAGATAAAATATATATAATATAGAAATGGAATATAGCAATATAAAACCCAAATTACTTTGTGCAAGAAAGTATTCACTTCATGCAATAATAATAATAATACAATTGACCAGGGGCGGACTGACAACTCATGGGGCCCCCGGGCAATAGGGGATCATGGGGCCCCTGTGTCCTTGCCCAAACTCAAAAAAGCCTATAAAAAAGGTACCAGGGGCATCTCATGGGGCCCCCTACTGACCCCGAGCCCTCGGGCAGTGCCCAGTTTCCAAATGGTCAGTCCGCCCCTGCAATTGACATTTTTGGTTAAAATATTCCCGTCAGATAATAACACCACATGCAATGGAAAGGTTAAAATGAACTCTTTATGGAAAAAAAAAAAAATAAATAATTGTGAACAGTTTTTTTGTCCTTTGTTAAGTTTGATACATGGACCCCCAATTAGGGCTCATGTACACTGCAGCTGCTAAACTGACATTCAGGAGCTGTTCTGCATTTTTTTTTCAGCAGCCCCCGAACTCTCCCCAATGTTCTCCTATGTCTCAATGTACACATCTTCATTTACAGGCAGTTGAGTTTACAGTAGTTTTTTTGAACGCACCAAACTTGCGTTCAGGAGTAGATTTTACCGGCGTTTCAAATGCTTGTAAATGCGGTTACCGTGCTTATAAGCGTTTGCGTTTAGAAGCCTTTTTTAAATGTCCAAATGCTGTCCAGAGCATTTTTTCCATCATCAGAGCGTTTTCTATGTATTCAAATGGACCCGGTACACCATGCGCAGTCAGTTCCAGGTTTCGTGTGAAGGAAAAAATGGTAGAACGCGCCGCATTATGCTCATGATGGGATCCATAGTGACTACAACCAGAAAAGACAGTTCATCTCAACACATACTGCTCTCTCTGCTTCTGCTCTCTCTATTCCTCTCAAAATGTCTGAAATAGTTAATTTTTTACTATATTTCAGTGCATTCTGGGCATTTGGGAAGGTCTCCTGAGGTTATCTTTTAAAAACGCTTCTAAACGCAAGCGCACATAAATGCGGTATGCAAACGTGTTTAAACTGACGTTTTTTTAACCTACATTTTCCAGCAGTCAGTTTCTGACCTCCGGAACGGATTAATTGGTTTTCAATGCATTCCTATTTGAAACAATGTTTCGGTTTACAAATTTTTCACAATACGAAAAGTCCCGCAGAATGAATTAAATTCGTAAACCAAGGTGCACCTGTACAGCTAAATTTTAAAAAATTCTTTTTTTTACTATTTTGTGCCAGTCATCTTTGATAACAAAGAAAACGGAGATATCCATTACCATTTACTAACAAATGAAGGCCCAATTTGTCATGAAAAAAAAAAACAAGTTATAATTCACCGGATACATTAAGCAGCTGCGATGAAATGTACAGATTCACTGACAGATGTCAAAGTTGCAAAATTGTGCTCAGGCATTAAGATTTGTTTTATCCTTTGTCCTTAAGGGGTTTTTGTTGAGTTACTTAACCCCCCCTGGTGGTATTCCCGAGTGTAGCTCGGGGTAAAGTTTCAGTACCAAAAGCGGTAACCCCGACCTACACTCGGGAATACACTGCAGCGTTGCTCCGGGATCCCTTCTGCACTTACCTTGTCCTGCGCTCCCGCAATTTCCCCCCTGCAGTGTTCCCGGCAATGTCCTCCGGCCGATGCTGGCATCCATCTTCCGGGTTCCGGTCCCTGCAAGCGTTGGGACGTACGAGGACGTAACCGGTGGGAAATTCAAAAATAGTGACATTCACCAAATACACTAAAATCACATAGTATAACATTCCTGTATCCAACCATTTCACATACATTTTGTCCCGAGTGCTTTGTCCGGCGCCCTGCCTGCATTTTTACTGTTCTTTCTGCCTGGAAACTGAGAAACGTCCATGGCGTCCAAAAAGCGTCCCTTTAGGTCAAAAGCGGTTTTAGACCGGCTAGAGAACAGCGATAGTAAATCAGAACCACTTGCAGAATTGAGTGATAATGATTCGTGGGGGAAATTCGTCATCAGACACTGAAAACGATTCTGCGACTAAGCTCACTGATGTGGGAACTTGGCGCTATATTTCAAATTTCAGTGTTTTTGGTTTGATTACATTATTGAATTACATTTATAATTATTTTTTATGATTATTTGTTATATTATAATTTATGATTTCGTGTTTCAAGTTTTATCATCCCCGGGATGTTTACTAGACTCTTGTTCGGACAGATTTCAGTGAGTTATTCCTAAAAATTACAGGCCTACAATAAAAAAACGACATATTTCCATGCAAAAAAATGTACCTCTTTGAGCACAGAAATATGGACATAATCAGACCGCTAGGGAGGTTAATATAGAGCTACATATATTTGTGTCTGTTATACCTGCCGGGAGTTCAATAATAATGCGTGTTTATTGTTCCTGTTTATCTCTTTTTGCTGAGCAGGGGATGAACTTTACCCCGAGGATCCAGACATCACAGGACAAAAAATGTATTCCACAAATAAAACCATCAAGGTCCTCATCCAGGAAGGGGGGCGTCTTCACCGATTATTACACATTGATGGCGTTGCAACCTTCTTTATAAATCTGCCACCAAAATATAAACATGTCAATCCACTTCTAACAGATGTCAGTCGTGATCCAGAACCCAAGAGCAAAATTTAAATAGACTGTTTTATGCCATCTGTATTTTTATTAATAAATCAGGATGGACTGGATGTGTGTGGTGTAGATATTATTGCAATCCATGTGTAGTTCATGGCCTAGGGACCGCCATTATGTTGGCATTGTGGCTACGATGTAGAGCACAATATGTCTAGGTCTAAGGCAGGCCATAGGTTATGACCTTTTTTTTTTCTTCCACCATGGGCGCTCGATTCTGTGTTGATGGGGGAATCCCTCCTGCAGTACACAATGATTATTGTTTGAAGACAATATAGGCTCATTCCTATATGTGTGTTTTTGCCCATTACACAGGACTTCTCCAGAGCTTCCCCCATCCTCTGGAACTCTCTACCCCAATTTATCAGACTATCGCCTACTCTGCTTACTTTTAGGCGGTCTCTTCAGGGAAGCCTATCCTGCCCTCAGCTAATAATGGTATCTTCTACTCTTCCAACCAGTCCATCCCCCCCACAGTTACTACCTTTTGTACCACTAGCCCCTCCCTCCTAGATTGTAAGCTCCCAGGATCAGGGCCCTCCTAACCCTCTTGTATTGAACTGTATTGTTGCTGTATTGTCTCCCATTATATTGTAAGCGCTGAGCAAACTGTTGGCGCTATATAAATCCTGTATAATAATAATAATAATAATTACTGCAAAATGCGATGTCTTGGTATAAATGTTGTGCTGCTGTTCTATTCACAATAAATGGTGCCCCAACACCCATATACAGTACAGCAAAAGGTTTCTATGCTATAGTGCACTCAGATGAGAACCATTTGTGAGTATCAGTGCGCGCTATTAGGGCTCATTCACACGGGCAACTGAGCTACGGTTTTACCACCCACCTGAAATAGGGCATGCATACATTCAGGGCTGTACACGTGTTGTGGCAAAAAATTAAATGGCATGTTGCATTTGATGGGCGGTACTGCCACAAAATGTGACCTATTCAAGTGAATCGGTAATGCGCATGGTTACGGCACAGTGGGTTCCCATGTGGAAGAAAAATATATTTGAAATATATTTTAAAATATATCTTCCCAAATATATTGACATAGATTTGAAATACTACAATTTTGTCCATATTCAATATATTTCAAAATATATTTCAATAAATATATATATATATACTGCATGCTGACATGTGTTTTTATTACAATATATAGAAAAAAATGTAAGAAAATATATTTGTATGTCTTTAAAGCGAAGTTCCACTCAGTCTTTAAAAAAATAAAAGTCAGCAGCAGCTACACAAACTATAGCTGTTGCTGTACAACCCTGTTGTCATCATCATAACAACCAATGATACATTGGCTACTTTGACAAAAGCATATGGGCTGTACAGCATCATTGGTTGTTATGGTGCCGGTGACCAGCGTCCTAGCAACTGGCTCAGTAATGCTGGCTTAAGCCGGTTGCTAGAACGCTGGCCGTCTGCACCATAACATCGACATTGACATTGAACGATCCAGTTGCCATCATCCTAGCAATACTGTGCAGCTATGCAACATTGATTGCTAGGATGAAGGCATCTGGGCTGTACAGCATCATTGGTTGTTATGCTGCAGATGACCAGAGTCCTAGCAACTGGCTCAGTATTGCTGGTCTGTGTATACAGGGCAATTTTACTGTGCTACAGTGAGGTCGCTGTGCCAATATCCTAGCAACCAAGGAGGGGGGAAGTGGGGGTGGTGCAAAAATGGCTGCACAGGGTTGCCATGGTAATGGTGATGCTTATGCCCTCTATACACAAGGCAGCAATACTGAGCTGGTTGCTAGGATGCTGGCTGCCTACACCATAACAACCAATGATGCTGTATGGCCCAGTTGCAATTGTCCTAGCGACCAATGGTACTTCATGATTGTGCAACATTGCTAGGATGAAAGTATTTGGGTCGTACATCATCACTGGTTGTTATGGTGTGGGTGGCCAGTGTTCTAGCAACTAGCTCAGTAATGCTGGCCTGTGTATACAGGGCAATGTTACTGAGCTACAGTGAGGATGCTGTGCCAGTGTCCTAACAGCCAAAGGAATGGGGGGGGGGGGGGGCACAAAATTGGCTGCATAGGGTTGCCATGGTAATGGAGATACTTGTGCACCTGTATACACAGGCCAGCATTATTGAGCTGGTTGCTAGGACGCTGGCTGCCTGTACCATAACAACCAATGACACCGTATGGCCCAATTGCCATCAACCTAGCAACGAATAATGCTGTGTGGCTGTGCAACAGTGGTTGCTAGTATGAAGGCATCCGGGCTATACAGCATCATTGGTTGCCATGGTGCCGGCAGCAAGCGTCCTAGGAACCAGCTCAGTAATGCTGGTCTGTGTATACAGGGCAATGTTACTGAGCTACAATGAGAATGCTTTGCCAGTGTCCTAACAACCAAAGAGGGGGCTGCAAAAATGGCTGCGTAGGATTGCAATGGTAATGAAGATACTTGTGCCCTGTATACACAGGCCAACATTACTAAGCTGGTTGCTAGGACGCTGGCTGCCCGCACTGTAATAACCAATGACGCTGTGCGGCTAGTTGCCATTGTCCTAGCAACAAATGATACTGTGCAGCTGTGCAACATTGGGTGCTAGGATGAAGGCATCCGGGTCGTTCAGCATCATTGGTTGTCATGGTGCAGGTGGCCAGCGTCCTAGCAACCAGCTCAGTAATGCTGGCCTGCGTATACAGGGCAATGGTACTGAGCTACAGTGAGGAGGCCGAGCCAATATCTTGGCATCCAAAGAGGGGGCGCAAAAAAATGGCTGCATAGGGTTGCCATGGAGATCATACCAGCTTTTGACTGTTTCCATGGTTGGTAAAAACGGCCTTCTCAGTAAACAACAACCCGGACACACTCCTGTTTCTACATTTTCAATAGAGCAAAGAAGGGTTGGACTCTCTGTCAGCCTTTTATTACGGTCAATGCCAACCCCCAACTGAGTGCCGCCTATGGCAGTCACCCTATTCTGACCTCGCATCACTTTACCATACGTTTTTATTTCACATATAAATGTCCGTTGTGTTGAGGTAGTCCATTCCAAGGAACGGGCCAACAACACAGCAAATCGAATAAAGAACGGGCATGCACCATGTTTGCCAACGCAGCGCGCCACTGCACATGGCAGTCCATTATTGTGCAAATGTAAAACTTGATTCTTGTGAGCTACTATGGTGTATCTGTAATGTGAAAAAAATTGAATATAATCAAAAAAAAAAAAAAAAAAAAAAAAGAATATATATATATATATATATATATATATATATATATAAAAAAAACACCACTATGAATAACGTGCTAAAAAAAAAAAACATTTTATATATATACTTGTGTGTGTAATATGAGAGAAAATTTTCAATTAAATGAATAAATAAAATATTGGTCTCCCCTCTGATGTGCGTGGCACGAAAGGCCTAAGAAGAACACCAACATACCGTGACGTCATTGCCGCCGGAACCACAAGGAGGTCCGGCGGCCATCTTTAAATGTTTTTTTTATGAGCTATTCAGCCTACAGATGACCCACACCTACCAGTATCCAGAGGAAGGGAGCCCTGTATCCAGCCGAGCACCCATCCAACCTAAAGGGGACCTCTGGATTGGCAGATCTCTACCTTAAACCCAAGACCTGCTGCTGCGCTGACCTATCCCTAGAAGGAAGCTCACCAGTTACCTGCCATACCCCGCCTGCCTAAGTGGTCCACGGTGGATATATTTACATGCGCTTCTGGTGAGTGCGCATTTATACCATTGTTTCCAGGCACGGGTACAAGGAGGGATCCTATGCACATTTTATGAACTTCATTCATGAAACTTTCAATTTTAGGTCATTTTTTCTTATCTTATTACTAGCGCTGCACTTCTTACGCTTACAGTTTTATTAAGGTTTTTTTTGGTTACCTTTAGTGCTACAACTGCTTTATTAAGAGCGCTCACTTTATCATGCCAAATAAATAAAATAAAAAACAGTTAATTGGGTCGCCTACATCATACACCTACTCATACATGTGTGTCACTATAATCAGAAACAAATGCAAACGTGTCGTGCTCCACTAATAAATGTGAAATATACTCTACGGACTATATACATAAACAATATATCATTCAAAATTATTTTCAATCAATTATAAATAACATATGTGAGTCCAACTTTGGTTTGCAGTTCTTCTGAAACATCGTGCTTATTTCAAACACAATCCGTGATTATTAAGGTGTCTTCCTCTAGTGCAGTGTTTCTCAACTCCAGTCCTCATGGACCCCCAACAGGTCATGTTTTCAGGATTTCCATTATTTTGCACAGGTGATTTGATCAGTTTCACTGCCTTAGTAATTACCACAGCTGTTTCATCTGAGGGAAATCCTGAAAACATGACCTGTTGGGGGTCCATGAGGACTGGAGTTGAGAAACACTGCTCTAGTGAAACATATAAAAAAAGTCCACAAAAACTTTTACTTGTGTGCTCCTTCACCTGTGTGCGCTCACCTGACTTATATGACCAAACCGTTAAGTGAGGTCATAAACAGCTTGTGTCCCTTTAACCACTTCCAGTCCGGACACTTTCACCCCCTTCCTGTCCAGGCCAATTTTCAGCTTTCAGCGCTGTCGCACATTGAATGACAATTGCGCGGTCATGCAACACTGTACCCATATGAATTTTTTTTTGCATTTTTTTGAGACGGATAAAACTTTATTTTGGTGTTATTTATTCATCACTGGGATTTTTATTTTTTTGGCTATATAAACGAAAAAGTCCAAAAAGTTTGAAAAAAGTGTTTTTCTTATAAAATTTTGCAAATAAATAATCTTTCTTTTTAAATCTTGGCCAAAATGTATTCAGTTATCTTTTTAGTAAAAAAAAAAAAAAAATAACCCAAATTAGTTTATAACCAAAACAGGGGCGGAATGACAACTCATGGGATGGCAATAGGGGATCATGGGGTCCCTGTGTCCTTGCCCAAACTCAAAAAAACCTATGAAAAAGGTACCAGGGGCATCTCATG